CCAAAAGAGAGATCTAAAACTTAAAAAAGAAAAAGATTCCGACACAATCGACGTTTACTACAAGATGAATAACAACGATATTAATACTAAATGATAGATAAATTGATAACTTAAAATGGTTGATATAAATATCATCTTATTTCGTAAAATATCTTATTACTTCTACAATTATTCTACTTCTGTACATCCAATTATATTTAGGATTCTTATTGATAATTATTCAAATCGCACTTTTCATTCTCTATTAATTTTTTTTTCAGCTTTTGTACTTATAAATAGACAAAGGCTCATTAATATCCTTTGGGATGATGACCCAAACAGTCCTTAAACTTTGGTACATGTTCAATATAGTCCCTGAACTATATGAAAATGTTCAATGTTGTTCCCAAATATGAATTAATAGAAGAACTACATTGAACATTTTCATACAGTTCAGGAACTAAATTGAACATGTACCAAAAGTTCAGGACGACATTGAACAAATTAAAAGTTCGGGGACCATATTGCACGTTGGGTTAAAGTTCAGAGACTATATTATACATTGGCCTAAAATTCATGAATTATTTGTGTCATTTTTCCATATCCTTTCCTGATGTAATTCTGCAGAACGAGCTAGTTGTGTTGCCTATTTTCCAATCGAAGTGACCCTTTGATAATTTAATATGCATTAGCTCGACATTTTCGCCAATTAATATACAAATGACGAAAAAGAAATATTTCTTTTCTAGAAAAGACATGTCGATCCTAAATCAACCAAGAATAAGATACTATCCCAAATGTCAATTCACTACGGGGCACTTGTATGGTCTCGAAGGACGAATCTTCCGATCGCACTTGTAGCATCACTATCAAGTATCGACAAGGAATGAACTTTCTTTTGCAGCGCTTTTTCCATCTTGTTTTTTCCGATCGCTCTTCCTTAAAACGACTAGCGACCCGCGTTCCGGGAGCATGACATTATCAAAGCGAGACTTTGGCAAATTAACTTTCCATTGTCACAAAATATATCAACTATGATATAACAGAGGACCTATTACCATCACAGACAGACTCATCCTTCTTTGGCATCTCCTCCTTCCTTTGCCTCCTCCTCAGCTGCTTCATCGTCTTCATCTCCTCCTTCATCCGGCTCATTCTTAGTCGACTTTTCCTCTAACTTCTCGAGATGTTCAGCAGTAAAAGGATGAGCATCAGCCCCGTGCTCCGATATAAGAGCCCTTGCTTCTTTAGTCATCGTCCGCCCCATCGGGCCGATGGCTACAAGCATGGGGATCCCCCTGACCTTGAATTTGCGTTTCAGGGATTTCTTCCTCTCGTCGCCAAAGGGGAGCGCCAGCCACAGCATCTGAGCAAAATAATCATGGAAGGCAGTTTGGTCCTTGTCGCTGGAGATGAAGATCAACTCAAAGGCATTGTCTGTGGCCTTGATCTTTTCGTATGCCTCCGTACGCACAGGCAGGAATGCACGGCAAGGAGGGCACCAGTGTGCCGAGAAGTAAAGGAGGACTGTCTTCCCCACCAAGTCCAATACCGGAATCTGCACTCGAAGTTAACAAACAACCGTTTAGATGAATCACCGATAGATGGATAAGGCTCGTGAAAACTGAGTATATGGAAAGGATTTTCCTAGCTATAGACCTGGTTTCAATACTTTCCTCAGCTCATGTAAACCAAGGGATAATGATATTAAGGGCCTCATCGTAGACATTGAGTCATTAGCTTCTAGGAGGAAAAACAAAATTTACCTTGGTTCCATCCTTTTTAATGACGAAATCTAGATCCCCTGAAACCAAGATCGACTCCAAAGTCTGAGATTCTTCCCTTTTTCTTCTCTATCTCTGCGAGCTCTGCAAAATTCTCTGGAGTGAATGGGTAAGCTGCAACGCCATGCTCTTCGACGGTTTCGGCAATGTTGGAATGGAGAGTCTTCCCATCCCAATCGATTACGACCAGAGTGGGTGGGGCCGATAGGTCAAAGTACCTAGCCAACTTCTCACATTTCTTGTCTTTCAATGGTAATGAAAACCATGGCATGCTTCCAAAGGATTGGTTGAATGATGCTTCGTCTTCATCCAGAGGTATCTGAACGATCTCAAAACTCTCTCCTTTGTCCTTCAGCTTCTCATAAACCTCCAGTAACTTTGGCGTGAAATCAACGCATGATTCGTACGTGGACAACGAGAAGTACAGACCCACAATTTTCCCTTCAAGCACAGTAACAGGAACCTAGTTTCGCCACATAACTAGATAAGTAAAAAGAGGATGGAAAACCGAATCATAAGCACACGCGACCATCAGTTTCAAATGCATCAAAGATCTTTAAAGGTTTACCTTATTCCCATCGGACGAAACTACGAAGTCACGAGATCCATGGACCAAAAGAGAGGTCAGTGATTGATTTCTCCTAGTAGCTTCTTCCTGGTCTTTCAACTCTTCGATGCGTTCTGGAGTGAAAGGGTGACCTTCCACTCCATGCTCAAGGACGATCTGGACTCCGCTATCTGTTACGGCTGTACCTGTGCCATCGAGAATCACAAGGCGGGGTATTCCCCTACCCTTAAACAATTCATTCAAGCTATCGCGCTTCTCCGAGTCGGTAAATGGGATCGCAAGCCACGGCATCTTGGAAAAGTATCCACTGAAGGACTCTTTATCCTTATCTCTGGAGATAAAAATGATTTCCAGGTCACCTCTTGAGGAAAGTTCATTGTAGACCTCCACAAGCATCGGGGTGAATCGCCGGCACGGACCGCACCACGATGCGGAGAAGTACAAGCCGACGTTCTTCCCCTTCAAGCTATCGACCTTAACCTGATATGGGACAGAAGATTTCTCATTTGAGTTCTTTCACGCAGCAATCAACAAGCAAGGCACACAAGATCAATTGACCACCACACAAAATCCTGGAAATGCTCAAGATACATCCCAATGCCAACGCCCTTAAACATAAAAGGCGCACGAACCGCATCTTCCAGTCCGACGAGAGAAGCCCCAACAAAGAACCAGATCAGTAATGCTTTCGACCATTCCCCCCGATTCGAAATTCAAAAAACCGATCACCAGAACAAGATTGTTCGCACGAAACTGGATACAGTTAGCGAAACAATAACCCACACGAAGAAGACCACAAGAACTTCAACAAGGACGCCGACCCGCAATCTTTTTTTCCTTTACAAAAAGCAAAAGCAAAAGAGAATCGAGTTTACCCGATCGCCGTTGTTCCTGATGAGGAAGTCCCTGTCCGGAGAAGACAAGAGGGACTGAACATCGTGAGGAGCTGCGTCTCCGACAACACCCGCCATTCTCGTCGCTCAACTCTCGTGATTTGGTGTTGCTGCTGCTGAGCGTGCATGGAAATCCTCCAATGGTGGGCTCGTGCTCCTCCGTTTTTATATATAAGAAAGAGAGAGATCTCGCACCCGCTGATATTTTTCCTTTCTTGGGTTTTGAATGGTTTTCAGAAGGGAAAATGACATAAATAGTCCCTAAAATTTGGTACAATATATAATATGGTCCATGAATTTTTAGTACATGTTCAATTTAGTCTCTGAACTATATGAAAACGTTCAATATAGTCATTCCGTTAATTCAAGTTCAGAGACTACATTTAACATTCTCGTGCAGTTTAAGAACTATATCGAATATTTTTATACAGTTCAAGGACTACATTGAATATGTGCCAAAAGTTCAGAAACCATATTGGACATCAGGCTAAAATTGAGGGACTACATTGAATAAATTAAAAGTTCAGGAATCACATTGCACATTGAATCAAGATTTAGGGATCGTTTGTCTCATTATCCCTTCTCGGAACTTTCAGGGGTTCCAACGTAGGAAAGACGTGGGATGCCTCGAACTCGTTAGCAAATCAATGTCTTCACACTCTTAAGTCAGGTGCAATTGCACGGAAAATCTTATTTTCTTCGAAAAAGGGTAGCTATATCTAAGTAACGTGACTAATTAGGTTTGGATTTGAGGTGCTCGCGACACGAATCACATCCTAAAAGGTCAATCAGATGGGATTTGAAGCATTTATCCGAACTTCGGGACTTAATTAGAACTTATGGGATTTCGGTCCAGTGCCGAATTGCATGTCGACATATTTTCGACCTTACTGGTAAAAGAATTCGACGAAAAGTCGAAGCGCGGATATGCTAAATCGATTCGAGCAGGTCAAGTAACATTACGATTGCCAATTCCTCATATGAAGCTAAACCAAATGTCGGGATTGTGATGCAATTGCAAGATTAATTAATTTTGTTATTGTTTCACCACGTGACCCTTGTTCCTTTTCCATGATGATCCTATTGGGCTCTGCTCGTGGTCCATTGCGCCACCCTTACAGTGTGTTGTGCTCGACCCGGCCCATTAACGTGCCGGGCCGTGCCATGCCGGCCCGAGGCCCAAGCATCAATAGGCTTCCCCGTTCTCAGATAAAACGTTCTAAACCGTTGAAATACCTTGCTAATTTCGTGAATCAGATAAAACGCAAATCGAAACCCAAGCGGATATCCGATCTTCAATTATTTTTGCTTTAAAAATCCCTTTGGTGTCGACGCTAACCAGTTTGCACAGTAACTTTCTTTTTTCAAACTTTTTTTTGTGCGTAGCTCGATCTCGGTAATCGATATCTATGATGTGTCATTTTTTTTATTGGACGATGCACCTCGTACATTTTTCTCGCGTACCGTCAATAAGGACTCTCGAAAGGGTCGTGTTTTCTTCCATCCTTGATTTGATAAAATATTTTGATCGGTCCGTCAATACGGAGATTATCCACATCCATATTGAACTAGGTTTGCACGCGGGTGACGTGAATAGCTTGTAATAACTATATAGCCTTTGTTAAAACACGAGCTCATGCAATTGTTCTTGCTCCAAGCAAAAGGCTGCGAAATTCCATATCTCCTCGCAAAGGAACACTTCCCAAACGATCTTGCAAGAGAACCATCTTTGCCTCGTCCCTTTCCCCAAAAGAAGAACGTGGCACCTGCCTTTCAGATTGAAGAAAACCATATTCATGTCCACTCCTCGCAAGTAACCTCGTTCATTCCTTGTCACCAAGCGCAATCAATCCACAGGGGGCTCGACGTCAAAACCAATCCCTTAGCCATTTCACAGTCCTCAAACAGCCACGAGATGGTGCTACAGCTCCGCGACCCGCCTCCGCCACCGCCGACCATCACGGTGTTCCCCAACAGCATAACAATGCCGCCGCCGCAGACCGTCACGGTGTTCCCCAACACCTTGCCGATGCCGCCGCCGCCGCCGTCCCAACAGCACTCCCACTCTTCGAACGGGTCCTTCGGGACGGTGTTCATGGTCCTCGCGATCGTCCTCGCCGTGTCCGCCATCGCCTGCTGTCTAGGCCGGTTCTGCAACCGGCGGTCGCGCAGCGGCGACCCGCCGTCGAAGCAGGACCGCCGGCCTCGTCCGAAAGAGAACGACATCGAGTTCGGCTTCGACGGAAAAACTCTAACCGTAGGTAACCCGATGGCCGGCAACGACGGAGGACCCCAAATGATCCATGACAAGGATAAGGCAGGTTTGGGTGGAGGGTTTCGATTCCAGACTAGGCCTAGAGTCGATGAGCCAAAGCCTGGTGCAGCATGACATGCAAGCGCATGCCATTCTAGTTTTTACATTGCACGCAGTCTTTGTAAAATCCTCTATACAAGAAGATGTTTGACGTTCAATTGTCGTTGTCTATGATCTCGGACACTTGTATCTATTTCGATGATCACCAAGCATAAAAGAGCATAAATCTGAGTTCTAACGTGCCTGTTCTATTGCTTTACTTTGATACTCATCGTTTTTCCATCTGAGGCGAATGTGTTCGAAACGGTTGCTTGTCAAGATAATTTCAAAGATTCTAGCACGCTGATCAATGTGTCGATCTGGGTAATCTCGGCTTTAAGCAATGTCCAAATACATTGGGACTTGTTAAGCAACCGATTAAGAAAATGTCGCGATTTCTAAAGTACCGTTTGCTATTGTGTCACGCACGATCGATGCCCCGAAAATCGAATTATTGTAGATAAAATATACGTCGCAAGTGCTTCCGAGTGGCTCGTCAACCCCTGCTTGGGGAAATTCTTTGGTTCAGTCCAACAATACATGGGACTAGTCCAATTTGTAGTATGCACTGTTGTGTAAAAAAATTCAATCGTCAGATTATTGTAGAAAAGATGCTAACTTACGGACGTTTAGGGCGATTATCGACCATGAAATTGGCAATGTTAATATTGATAAAGGAAAATAATGACACGTAAGGACAATTACTCGCTGATGCTGATGGGTCTTTGAGGATCATAAAGGAAAGTTACCAAGAATAGGAAAATTAAAAAAAAGATTGACGATGAATTTAGGTTGTCACGATTACTCAAGAAAAGTTACTAACGCTCGGATATGGAGCCTTACGAGATTTTAAGGTAAATTATTACACGCGAAGCATGGATACTAACTTGTCATTTATAAGGACTTATCGGAAAAATTACTATTATTGAGGATAATTACTGAACACGACTACTGTAACTTACGACAATCGAAGGGTGAGCATGGAGCTCGGTTCAACCGGGGACCCGGACCGAATCGAATTGGCCCGGTTCAAGGGCGGTTCGCGGTGAGAACCGGTCCGGTTTCCGGTTTCCTCTGCTTACTATATAAACGACATTACCGAACGATTGAAAAAACCAACTCCACTTTGCTCTCCCCTGAGCTGCCGATTCTCCAATGTCTGAATCGGAAGAAGCTAGGATGACACCACTACCGCCGCCGCCGCCGCCGCCGCCGCGGCGAACGGAAGCGCCGCCCCAACAGCGCGGCCCCGACGTCGACGTCGCCTATCGCATTTGGCCTCCGACGCGGCAGACGCGCGAAGCGATCATCTCGCGCCTCGTGGGCACGCTGTCCTCTCCCTCGGCGCTCTCCACTCGCTACGGCGCCTTGCCCGTCGACGAGGCGACGTCCGTCGCCCGCACCATCGAGCAGGAAGCGTTCGCCTCCGCCGGTGCCGCCGCCTCCGCCGACGACGACGGCGCGGACGTCCTCCAGGCGTACGCCGCGGCGATCGGCAGGCGCATGCTGGACTCCGTCCAGCCCCGCACGCGCATCGCATCCGCGCCGCCCGCGATCGTGGCTCCTTCCCGCTGAGGACCCACGAAGGGTCGGATGTCTCGGCTTCTTTGGAGCTCGAGGTCCAAAAGTTGTGATCTTTTCGAGGTGGGGTGTTCTCTTTTTTGTCGCGCCTTCCCCTTAGATGACAAACATGGGGGTTTTAAGGTAGTACAGTGAAGTAGTATGTCTGATAGGAGATGTGTGTTGCTGTTTGTTATGGGTTTGTGCATACCTTCGTTTACCCTTTGCTCGAGGAGCGTTGTTGATCTTGAATGTGTCGTGACTGGAGTAATGTGGGTGTCTGAAAGCTTCTCTGTTGTTGATCTGCTATGAGAAAAGTCTCTCTTGTGTGCTAGATTGCACCTAATGTTTGGTTCTGGTCACAACTTCCTAATTACCGGAAATTCTTTGGCCCTCCGTTTTGATAAATTTTCCTACTTTGAATTTGGGCGCTTCTGCGGAACTGTTACTCAGGGATCCTAGTCATTAGATCACCAAAGAATAGATTTTCGAAGTGTTCGCCTAATGTGATACTTCGTGATGCGAATGTGTTTCGTTTCCTACTCGATACATGAACCGTGCCTTAAGGGCCAGGGACATAGAAGGGCCCTCGTGAACTTCAGTCTGATCTGTCTTCTCCATGCGAGCTTTTCTGTAGAAACTAGGATGTTGGGTCCCGTTGATCACTGGCTGTGCATGCCCGTGAAGAATATGAGCATGATCTCGGATATAAACATGTGTGCCCTGATGATGAAAGACACTTGATCGAATTAGGTGGAAGTTTGAGCAATGGTTATCAAGCGGCAAAATCAAATCAAACCCCTTTTCAACAGTTTTCTGGTGCAGCTTGGCTCATGGTTTTAAGCCTCTGACCTCTTCGCTTCATGTTGCCTTTCTTCTTATTTCGGGCTGGAGGTAGCTTGTTTTGGCTGTTTCCTAATAGGTTATGGTGACTTTTAGAACTTGAAAGTAATGTACTCCCGGTCAAAATTTGGTTTGCACTGAAATTGCTTTAGCATTTATCAATTTAGTGAAGCTCCTCCCTCTCTGTTATCCCACCTGCCTGGAAGCATTTTGATGCACTTGGTCGCGATGGTTTAACTCAACTCGTGCACGCAGTCGCGTGCCTCAGGAATAGAGTTTGCTTTTCTTTTTACCCATCGAAGAAACCCTTCTCTCCATGGTATCGCAAGAATGGAAGCTAGCCTCCAGCCACTCACCTCAAGAGTCCAGTCCATCAATGATTCCCTCAATATCACTAAAGAAACAGTTCTGTAAATGACCAATAGGCAGGACGATTCTAGGAATGCCTAAACTACAATCTATCCGCAGCTGTCTTCCTCTTAAACCTGCGCTCCTCTTGATTGGAGGGTGCAGCTGAGCAAACCAAGCTGGAAATTACAGAGTGCAAGGCTGGAAAATTAAGCTGAAAATGACAGGCTGCTGGTGGTGGTGGCGGCTTAAAATGGACCGGCCAGAGCTGAAGAGTTGCAGAGCTGGAAGTAGAGCTTAAAATGGAAGTGGATGGGACCGGTGGCAGCATAAAGCTAAGGGGCTGCCTTGGCTAATTTGAGCAAAGAGAAAAGGACCGGTCTTTTGCTGGAGAATTTGCAGGAAAATACGCAGAGGAGTGCATTGCTGAAAAGAACAGAGCTGCTGCAGCAGCAAAAGGGTAAAGGGTGAAAATGCAAAGGGAAAAAGGAGCTGGAACCGAATTTAGATCTATGTGGACTTTCCAATTTAGATGAATATAGTTTTCAATACTAAAATTAACGATGCTCCACTGATGAAAATTCATGTACACATATATATTTAAACATGTGTGATTTTCAATGTTGGTTATTATATAAATGTGTGACTCCAAAATTTGTATTGATCGTGAGTTTTTGAATTGAGAATCCTTATTATTCCTCTAATTTTTTATAAGCTTGTCATGCAGTCGGAGGTTTATCTCTAATTTTATTATAAGAATTGTTCTTCTTGTAAACAATCTAAACACAATATTATTTTTTCTTCTATTTTATCAACTTTAATATTCCGAATGCATGCTGTGATAGAAACGGAAATTGCAAATATATGGAGGTAATTGTTTGTTCTTCTATATTTATTTAGTATTAATAAGAAAATTGCTTTACTGATTTGTCAAAATTACTTTTTATGAAATATCTGCTATTATAGTACTCGGCTCCTTGAAAATTTATGGTTTTCTTTGATAAAATATATGTGATGATTGTAGAATCAATCAGATAATATCATTAATATATATTAAAATCAACATGAAATTTGTATTACCACCTCTTATTAAATTCCGGTCTGATGAAGGCAAAAAGATATAAATACATTATCTAATTTTACTGCTGATAATTATTCCTTTGTAAAAATTTAAGTTATTTGCTAGTGTTTTGAATCGATATAATTTTTTTTTTGAAAATGTATGCAATCCATACAGTACTCTACTCTTGCAGACATTCATTTAAAACTCATCGAAATACATTAAATCTGACAAGTTTATACCTCATTGTAACCCATAATGTATCCAAAATTCAAGATATAGGTAAAGACATACTGAAGGGACCATGAAAAATCAATTACTGGATAAAACTCGCGCGTGAAATTGCCACGTGCCTTCACCTCGCGCCAGTATTACCTCCTTTTTGTTAACGACAGATTTTCTTATGAGCGTCATACCTACTTAATGGTTTTTTTAATTCTTAACTAGTGGACAATTTTTTTGTCATAAGGAGATTAGAGCATCATTTTCTCTCACAAGGGTCTTCACGCATGCGCGCGCACATATATAGAAGTTCAGGATCGCATTTATTTGTAAAGCACGCAACTCTTTCGAGTATGAGTTCAAGATCGTACCTGCACAACTTAAGGCCTTCAATGTGTCCATCCTTGACCAAATGACCGTCATGCACTACACACCCCAATGGTACTCTTCTACCCCCCATTGACAAGCCTTGTGGTCTCTCTCCTTGACCATTGAGCACATCTCTAGCACACTAAAAGAAAGCCGGTGTTCGGGGCGCTAACCCGATTCTACCCACTAGCCGGCCACTCCATAGAAATGACCTTCACATCGACTGTGACGATGCCCGGCAATCGTAAATTTTTTCAACGATTTGCTAATTTGATCTTAAACCTTTCAATTGTGTAAATATAATCTTAAATTTTTTTTTATCATTCGCCGACTTGACCCTAAACCCTATTAACGAATTGCCGGTACAGGTTCTTTCGCCTAATTTTGATTGGGGCCGGTCCGATCAATTCAAAGAGATTTGACCTACAATGGTAACCCGAGAAAGAGAAAACGAAAGATACAAAGAACAAGAAGATGACTTTGGTCAACGTTGTCGTTTGTCGGATCAAATGATGTACCCCTGGGAAAAATATGTGCTGAAAATCTGCGATCTCCTTCGCCGTCGCTTCCCTCCACTCGCACCGCCAGCGCGTGGCGAGGACGACCGCCAGTCGTCGAACAAACTCGCTTTCGATAGCCGTCAGAAGGAGCGTGTGCCGCACTCGTTTCCGAGAGCGAGTGGCCAAAGACGCCTTTCAACCTCTCGTTTGATTTTCCCTATTTCTTTTTTTTTTTCCCCTAGTCAACCAAGAATTTTTTTAAAAATAATTAAAAAAGAAAAGAAGAAAGCCAAAAGAAATTCGAGCTTCGAAAATACCTTCGAAACTTTTTGAAAAAGAAATTCGAGCTTTCAAAATATCATATACGTGCATGTATCGATATTCATATGTTTTTCAAAGTTCAACATTTAGACGTTTCGTATTTAATATCGGGTTAATGTCAAAAAAAAGATTCCAAACTGTGACATTCGTGCCACAATTATCTTCGAGCTAATTTTTTATGTCATAAAAAAAATCTCAAATCAATACATTCTATTTATGTTACACTAGACCAATTTTCATTTCACAAGAAAATCACAAAGCCGGTATATTATTATCATATTTATCTTAAACGATTTTTTTATGTCATGAAAATCTCAAATCTTTATAATCTTATATTGGGAAATCCACTTAAAGTCTGGCGCTAACTTTTTGCCATAATATGCTAAAGTCCCCAATTTCTCGTGATAGGAGAATTAGTTTGGGTTGCACCCGTGGTTTTGGATATTTTGTGACAAGAACATGAATTTGTGGTAACTGCGGCACGTGTATGCCGATTATGAAAAAAATTTCGTAGTATCAACTCTTTAATATTTAAAAAAAATGCGAAAAAAAGAAAAAAAAATCTCGAAAGCAATTTCGGAAAAAAAAAACTTTCGAAGGAAAGCAAAATAAAAAAATAAAAAAGATTAAAAGAGTTGGTTAGAGTGACAGTGTAATCCCATGTGCTTTTTCAACACGGAATATCTTTCTGTTATAAAGTTCCACCCCCATGCACACTGCACAGACAGAAGAAGGAGAAGAAGAAGAAGCAAGAGCTTGGCAGTACTTCCGCCATGAGAGCTCTTCAGAGATCGGTGGAGTGGCTGAGGCCCGTCGTCGACTCCCTGGCCTGGGACTACGCCGTCGTCTGGAAGCTCGGCGACCACCCCTCCGCGTACATCCCACCCTCCCGACCCCCCCCCCCCCCCCCCCCTGTTTCCCGATTCTATGAACGGATGAGCGATGGCTCCTCCTCCTCTTTCGATCTCTCTCGCCCCTCTTGCTGTTTCCGATTCTGGGTGAAACTCTCCGCAGGTCCGTCGAGTGGGTCGGGTGCTGCTGCTGCGGAGGTTCGTCGAGATTCGACGGCGTCAAGGAGGAAAAGCGAGAGGAGGGTGATGCGCGTCAGCTCGATCGTTCGACCGCCGCTGCGCTCTGCAGGGACCTTCGTAACGCGCACCCCGTGAGGACGAGAGCTTGCGGGGCCCTTGCCCTCTACCCTTCTTTTTTCCTTCTCTATTCTGGGTAAGAGCCGGCTTTGCATTTTCGGGAAACGAAGGACGGGGAGAAATGATGTTTGGTTTGAGTTTTCTTCGAGCGACTGTAACATTTTCGGGGAAAATTTTTCATGGCTGTCTTTCGGTCAGGATTCAGGGAGAGGTGGTGATCTCGAACAAGCCCAGGTGGATTCGCAGGGCAAGCGCCTCGGGCTCGAATTCTGTCCAGGCGAGCGGTTCTTAACCTTTTTACTTTTGATCATTGCGTATTCCCGCGTTGCTCGCTCTTGAATTGCTCGGACAAAATCGCTGGAGACGATCATTGTCTCCCCGAATTCTAGCCCTTTGATCGATACTCTGGTCCGTTGTTGTCGTTTAACACCTATTGTTGGTAGGCGGGAGCGTTTGATTCAGCTTCGGAAGTCCGTTAATTGGACTTGCAAGTCAAGTTACAATGCTGTGTAGGCAACTTTGGAGCTGCTAGTCCTCCGAATTGTGTGCGCTCTCTGCATAACTACTAGACAATGGTTCATACCCAGAACAATGCAGTGGCTTGGCTTGGAACAAGTTACAATATCCATGTGCATCTTTTGTCATGCTATGTATCTAGTCGATTATATGATTGTGCGTTTGAACTGTCATGCCGGATGATTGCTCGCATCGCACGGTTTACAATCTGTTTGTATGATTGCATCTGAGACGTAAGAGGGGAAGAAACTTTTGACAGGAATTCACTGGAACAAGCGTGCTGGTCCCCGTCGTTGGCGGCATTGTCGAGCTCTTCAGCGCAAAGCATGTAAGATGCACTTCCAGAGTAGCATTGGCTTCTGCATGAAATTCTACTCGTTTGCTTACAAGTTCCGAATGTTACCGTCTGGTTTCAAATTCGCCAGATACCAAAAGAACCCCGCAAAATAGAAATGATCAGGACTTGGAGTCACTTCTTGAGAGAAGCTGTGAATGCCGGGATCTGCGATTTAAGCATCAATGAACTCCTGATCCAAGAGTACTTCAAATTCTATCCATCTCCACTCCACCTTTCGAGTTTGGACTCTGGACTGCAACAACTTCCAACGGGAACTCAAAGTAGCACCAATCCTGAAGGATCGTCTTGTAGCTCGGATCTGACTTATGAGTACCCATCATTTGACCCGTATAATATCTTGGGATATCTTTCCCAAGCTGGACTGATGAAGCAGTCTGTTATTGAATCCACGGGGTCTGAAGATTCCAAAAGTTTGTCGAAACAGACAAATTTCTCTGGTTGTTATGTCGTGGCTGCGAAGCGTCAAGGTGCTCACAAACAGGAAGGAGGTAAATACCAAGCAAAGAACCTGGTCACAGAGAGGAAGAGGAGGACCAGGATTAAAGAAAGGCTCTATACTCTCCGTTCACTCGTACCAAAGATATCCAAGGTCTCCTATACTTTTATTGCTTTACTCTGAAGAGTAATCCATTTCGTTTGGCATGACTTGATTCAACCAAAGCTGTTTTCTTCGACGTAGTCCTTCGCTTTGTGTTGCAGTATTGAGGAATTTAAGTTGTCAATCTGATCTTTCAGCTTCTCTTCTTAAGCCTCTTTTCTAGACTTAAGGACCTATTAGAAAGATACAATGTTTTTTTCCACTGGAGTTGACAAATTGGTCATGTTGCATCCATGGTGGAATTTCTCTGGTCAATAGCAATTTCTATTTGACATAAGTATAAATTCATATTCAGGAATCTACGCATTTGAAGATTGTCATCTTTAAAAAAATAAATGCAGTAACAAATTCTTTCGCAGTCATGTTGCTTGTTATTCTTTCTTGAAGAATATGTATATCCATCTGATCCTTTCCTGTGTTGACTAGATGGATATGACTTCAATCCTTGGGGATGCAGCAGAATACATAGAGGATTTACAGATGGAGGTGACAAAGCTCGAGGAGCAACTCGAGGAATCGGAAAAAGACATATGCAGACCAAATTATACTGACTCAAAGTCTCTGGCTCGAAGCGTGGGACATGACCGCAGCAAGAGCTTGGCCGGACAACAGGATAACAAAGAGTTTTCCCGTCTCGACCTCAAGACAGACACAAAGGTGAAGTGATTCAAGCTGGCAGCTCAACTGTCATCTCACTGTTCGTCATGAAATCTGGACCGAGCGTGTCATTCTGGTGTCGTGCCTTGACTTTGTGGAACTAATGATTTCAGGCACAAGTGGAGGTGAACCAAATTGGGAAAGGAGATTTTCTGGTGAAGATATTAATGCTGCAGAAGCAGGGATGGTTTTCTAGGATGATGGAGGGGATCAACTCACTGGGATATACTGTAGTGGATGCCAACATCACCTCGTTAAATGGAAAAGTCCTAGCCAATCTCATGCTTGAGGTACGTTATGCAGACATTCCGTGAGGATATAGTGGCGAATGAGAGCAATTACAAAATTTCTTTCTTAAATAAGCTTCTACGGGTATTGGTCCTTTCTACTTTAATTTAAGCTTCATGCTCCAATTCAATTATGTGCAGAACAGAAGGCATTCTGATATGTTCTCTGTGCATTTCTTGTCCTCCATGACTTGATAGTTTCATGATTCCTGTTTCTGTTCGGTACTAAGACTGTTCTTGTTCTTCCAGCTGAGCGATGGTGCCCTTCCAAAGAATCTGAGGGAATCACTAATACAGCTAGCGAGCTTAATTAGTTAGTAAGAACATCTGAGGTTATCAATGAGAGGGTGCAAAGTTCATGCAGAAGTGTCTCTGTACTCTTAAGAGAAAGCATGCCAGGGAGAAAGTGAGACTTCCCTTTTGATCCATTGATATGAACATACAATTATCAAACATTTCAGATGCATGCTCCTGTTTCATCAGTTTAAAACCAGTAGGAAACTGATTTTTATCTTCTCTTTGATTTTAGAATGAATTCTCATGTTAAATGTGATCGCCACCTGCGATTTTATGATGCTGAGCATGTGAAGGTAGTGATCAACTTTACGTTTAAGCTAATTCATGGAGTACCGCACTTTTCCGTTTTGTGATTTCGTTAACTCGTTGCCTTTCGGTGATTTCGTTCACTCTTTGGAGGTAAACAACCAAGATTGTTCTTGCAACTGAGTCCTGCAGTTTTGACAGCTAGGGAAATTACAAAGAGGAACAGCATGATACAGAAAGAGATTCAACAAATGTAGCATTTACACGCTGCTGCTTTTAAAGCACGGTCTGTCAAACGGCAAAGCACGTTATGAAAGAATACGAGCATGTCGTCGAGCAAACAAGTCGAGTCACAATTGACAAACTAGTACGAGAATTGTAGGAAACTCAAAACTATTGCAGTAGTACCGACCAGGATGAAGTAGAAGCAAAAGCAAGTCAAAAATTGTATTAAGGTAACTGCACTTGCACCAGCAGAGACATTACACTGTGCAAACTATGGCTCCGTTTGTTTCGCAAAAAATAGATGATTTGGAAAATATTTTTCTAAAAATAATTGCTTATATCGCTTATGAAAATGAATAAACGTAAATTATCTTCATAGTCTATGAAAATCTTTAAACATAAATTATTGCCGATAATGAGAACATTTCCCATCGTCTAATTATTTCAAGCGATACAAACGATCATTTTTAGGAAAATATTTTTCAAATCATTCATTCTCCATGAAATAGACGGATCCTAAGAACTCATTCGTCCTTGATTAGTACATCGAAAAACTTAAAGTGACAAAACTTTTTGGGTGGCTTTAACAATATGAGAAGAAAATGGCGCAAACGCTTCTATCTTCAGGTCCATTGTGTAATTAAAAAACATGTGCAAGTACATATAAGTTTGACTCTCTGTATCATAAAAATGCGAGATTTATTTCTCCACGGTTTTTTTTAGTTATAAAAATCCTGCATTTTCTTTAAGTTATATTATTTCATTTTTCTCCTCTGATTTGTCTACCATGTCAAAATTGATCGAAAGTAGAATTGTATAAAGCCTTACACTTGACATCACGGTTGGTTTTTTCCCGACAAATTTAGAGCTGCCTTTTTCTTCTCTTATTCTTTTTTAATTGCATTTTGGTGAATTAGATGTCATTAACAAGTGAATTTTCATATGGAGCGTCCTAACAAAAAAATAACGAACAATATAATACCGATGAAATTATACCAACACATCACAAGGCCATAATCAATATATAATTGAGTAAACTAGTGCAACAAAACAAAATGAAAATTCGGTAAGAAATCCTTTTCCTTTAATCAAATTTATTTATTGTCACTGAATCCTGATCTTATCATGCGTTTGCTAAATGCGAGTCTAATACGAAATTGGCATCAAATGTGGTGCACAGAGTGACGGAATCAAATGGATGAAGTCGAACTTCTTAAACAATTAGGCCCCCTTTAAATTAAATTTGTCATGAGGTCATTATTATTTTAAGTTGTTAAGCTTTTCCAAAGCCCAACTTCCTCCAATCCTAGCACCCCCTTCCATGAAACTTCCTCTAGATAGTAACTTAATGATCAAGATAACCAACTATAAAATAATTCGCGGGCGCTAAATTGATGCGGCAGCAATAATCTAATGTCGAATAACGAGACGGAAAAATCATTGTTACCAAACTGGTCGAAGTCCCGTGCGTCACGTGAGCCCCAAATTTGTGTTTTGAAATACTCGCGCGGAGATATATGCTTGTAATTTCGCGATATGATTATTCATTTCCTAAATGTATAAGAAATTCCTCACTCATTCATTGACCATTCATGAATTCATGGAGGGAAACAAAAAGGACAGAGAAAGGAAAGCAGCCGCCATTTTTTTTTTTCCAAAGTCGACCTTGAGGCGCTCACCTTATCCTTCAGCCCCGTGAACTGATTTTGACTTTGACTTCTGAGCCCTAGTCAACTCTCCAACCCCACGCGAGGGTGACGAAAGTCGTACCCTTTCATTTTCTTCGCAAAAACGTTCCGAATTACATTTTTCTCGTTCTTTAATTAATTCCTTAATCAATTTTAGCAATGTCAGACATATTCTTCTATTAATTTGCTCCTTATTGTAAATGAAGCAGTATAATCCCTCTCGTACCTCATTTTAGAACCAGAGCAGCCACAAAAATTAAGTGTTGTTTTTTTCCCTTCTATACCACAAATTGTAATAAGTTAAAGACGACAAGAAACTTCTGACCCAAAAAAAAAAAAAAAAAAAGACAAGAAACTCTACCAAATCTCAGTTTAGAGAGACGGAGAGAGGAAAATGAGAAAAAGAAAAAAAATATATATAATATGAAATTTGAAAAAATAAAATTATATGTTGAAAATTATTAAAATATAACGGGTTATGGTGGGCAACTCACCTTGTTTCCTTTTGTTTGGATTACCACGCGTTTTTAGAATGAACTCTACTTATTTCGGTGTAGCCTCCAATCCTTACCGTTAACTTTCTCCCTCTCCTCAAGCCTCTCCCAACCCGTCATGGGTTTTCATATGAACTCCCAAATCCGATTAATTGAAGTGGTTGGGTACCCATCCGACATTCACGACCCCCCATAATACTTTATCTTAATGAATATATAGCTCACATTACATATATTATAAACTGTTTTGAATTTACAAACATAATATGTTATACAAAACTCACACATTGCAGATCTCCAATAAAAAAAACCCTGCATGACTAAAAACAATAAGACTGAACTTTTTTTTAAATTAACTGTTACAGTAATCTAATAAATAAGCCACGCTTGAAATGGTGGTTTTTTTATTGTAAATGTTGAGTTATATAATTCGTTTTGTTTTGGTTTTTTCATAGCGGACATTTGTTAAACAAGGGCTATATATCATGAGAGACCGTACAATTGTTTTAATACAGTTACAGTTATACTAAATAGACTTTTAATATGAAAATGAGTTCCTTAAGAATTGTCTTGCAATAAAATGATGACTCATTTTATCACTAAACTGATTCATCCGTGTTATATTTATCTCAAAAGATCTCAAATAAATATGAGGCAAACGTGGCACGGCACGAATAAATTGATCCGGACTTTAATGCGTGTACCAACCTAAACTCTTTTACGATACAAAAATTGGTTTGGAGTAACCATGACAAATACGTACCAGTTCCACGTGTTTAGCGATATTAACTCCAATTTTTATTTTTATTTTTATTTTTCTTGGAAGTGGCGCCGCGGTTGACATGTGCCCCAAAAGTCATCTGACAACGAACGACAGCGACCAATAACCCGAAGTTCGCGCACACGTGGCGACGAGGGAGGGCCGCCGAGACACGTGGACCGTGTTAACCAAGAACAGCGCTCGCTCCCTCCTCTTCGTTCGTTCATGGGCGTCGTCAAACGTCGAAAACACGACCACACTTTCGCGTTACGCGCTTCATCATCGTTTCCTCCTCCAACCAAAACAAAAGCACTAAATAAAACTAAAAAAAATAATTTTCTTCGGGTCAAAAACAAGTAATAAAAATTCGCGCGTTCATATTTCGTGTGAAAGGAAAAAGAAGTCCGCGCTTTCTCGCCACAAACTCCCAAGCCGTCCTTATTAATTCCCGGGACACTCCACCACGCTTCTCCGTTCAGAACGAGGGCAGGATCACGATAACGGAAGATGGAGCGTTTCCTAGCGAGCGAGGTTTCGTGTTCGAGCTCGAGTTCGAGTCCGGCGACGATGCAAGCGACCCGCGATCCGCCGCGCTCCGACGGCGAGCGCGCGGAGATCCAGGGCAAGACGGGCGGAGATTCGACAGAGAAGGTCGGGACCGGCGTGTCCCGCCGCGGGGGCGAAGACCCAGAAGAGCCCGGAGCGGGAAGTCGGGAAAAGACGCCGCTTTCGGAGCGAGGAGCTGAGGAAGAGGGAGAGCGAGCGCGAGAGGGCGGCGGCGGCGATGGAGAGGAGGAGGAGGAGGAGGAGGAGTTCGAGTTCACGTTCGCCTGCGCGAACCCGGAAGGCTCGCCGGTCGCGGCGGACGCCGTCTTCGAGAACGGTAAGATCCGGCCCGTCTACCCTTTCTTCGACCGGAAGCTCCTGTTCGCCGATGGCGGTGGAGGCGACGGGGGCTCGTCGACGCCGCCGCCGCAGCTGCGGTCGCCCCTGAGGAAGCTCTTCGTGGAGGGGCGCGGCTCGGCGTCGACGTCGTCGTCGTCGAGCAGCGAGGAGGGCGACGAGCTGGAGGGGGTGCCGGAGGGGACGTACTGCGTATGGCGGGGGAAGTCCAGCGAGGAGGGGGCGGAGGCGTCGCCGGAGGGGTGCCGGAAGAGCAACTCGACGGGGTTCTCGAAGCTGTGGCGGCTCAAGGAGCTGGGGCGCCGGAGCAGCAGCGACGGGAAGGACGCGTTCGTGTTTCTGAACCCCAGGAGGAGAGGGAAGGGGGAGGTCGAGAAGGAGGGACGGAAGGCGGCTTCGGCGACCACCTCGAAGGGAGGGAAGAAGGGCCGGGCGGCGGCGACGGCGGAGGAGGCGCACGAGAAGCACTACGTGATGGCGAGGGCGGCGAAGGAAGGGGAGAAGAGGAAGTCGTATCTGCCGTACAAGCAGGTCGGTTTCTTCACTAACGTCAATGGGATGAGCCGGAATGTTCATCCTTTCTAGTTTTTTTTTTTTTTCCATTGTTCTTCTTTTTGGGGGTTTTTCTTGGCAGATTTTTATTTATTTATTTATTTATTTTCCACCTTTTGTCAAGGCAATTTTCCCAGATAAGCGATTAGATATGTTGATTTATGCGAATTTGTAAATATTACCAGCTCAAGAGTTTGGGATTTAGATATAATGAGGTTTCTTGCTGCTTTTCGATAGAAGTGCGTTGAAATTACCGGTTAATTGTCGAAGAATTAAGAGTCCGAGGACGAAAATTGCACATGAGCAATAACACAAGAACCACATTGTATATGATATTTATTTCTATGCCGGGCGACGCGTGTAATTCTGACTCCCTGTCAGCATTTTCCGCCGACATTTGGACGGAAATATGGAACTCGTCTCGAAATCATGCATTGATATAAGTTTAGAGACCATATCCTTCACAAGATAACGTAGGAAGATCAACATTTAATAGTGATAATGGTGAGTCAACCATTTCCGTATCCCCAAAAATGATCAATACAAAGAATGGTAAAATCAATTTGCAAAATCGATATATTTAATGATATGACAAGGTAAATTAGATAAGCTTTTAAGGAAGCATATAGTGTTGAACACTTACTTTATTAGTTCTATAAACAAATCTCAAGATGTTCAATACCCAAAAAAATTTGAACAAACCCAATTAAGTAAGATAAGACAAAGTTCAATTTCCTTTTCTGGTTATGGGAGAGCAACAAGCGGAAAAAGTCAAGCTGTCCCCATTATTGAGATTATCTAAGGTATTTGGATATTGTTCTTCTCCAGAGACTTTTTGTTCATCACATTGGATTATCACTAATTCCATATTAATATTATATGGTAAATTGGGTTTGTTCGTATTAAGGTTTGCGCGTATACTAACGGACGAATACCCCCAATCTCGTACGGTGCTCTCTTCCCCGTCGCAATATATGACGACGGTGGGCAATAACCTCATTGATAAATAGATGGTTGTTGTTTATCGAGGCACTAAGAGAAACACTACGAGAAGTAAAGTATTCATCTCTTTTACTAATGCTAATATCCCGACAAGTTTGGGGTAATGTCGATTGTGGAGTGGCTATGGGAAATATCTCGGATAGTGTCTTTGAGTGCTCTATGGCTCTATTTGTTTCGCGGAAAGTGGATGATTTTAAAGATATTTTCTTAAAAATGATTGCTTATATCGCTTGAAATAATTAGCCAATAAAAAATGATTTCATTATTAACAACAATTTATAACTAAACATTTTCGTAGACAATGAAAACATTTTTCGTTCATTCATTTTTGTAAGCGATAAAAGTGGTCATATTTAGAAAAATATATCAACGAAACAAAGGAGCCTAAGTTGTTATTTTGGATGCAAATTTCATTTTCCTAAAACTCCATTTGTTTTGCAAAAAATGAATGACTTGGAAAACATTTTTTTAAAATTATCGCTTGTATCGCTTGAAATAATCGGTCAATGAAAAATGTTTTAATTATTAACAACAATTTATGTCGAAATATGTTCATGGATGATGATAATTTTTATCATTTATTCATTTTTATAAGAATTATAAGCGATAATTTTTAGAAAATTGATTTTCAAATTTTTTTTTTCCGCGAAACATATGAAGCCTATAATTGAGCGGATTTCTTTGGAGACAAAGAAGACTCAGGGCATATATGGTACGATTTCCGGGAAATTTAGTGCTGAATTTTGGGTAATGAATATTGCAAGTGCTAAAATTTACAAGTCAAAACTGTTTTATACATTCTGAAAAGAACATTGAAAACGTTGAATTTCTTTCATTTTTTTATTACACGGGGTGTTCAATATTTGCGGTACGATTAATCCAAGGGACGCAGTCAAATCACTCCATCCACATACACTGGGTAAGGTTTTATCACAATCAAAGTGGCAGGCATGGCCCCAAAGTTACTGTGAATGGGCGACGACACGACATCTATTGAATTCGATTCAAGAACTTAGGTTTCGTTTGTTTCATGGAAAATAAATACTTAAAAAATTATTTTCCTTTAATGATCTCTTTTTATCTTTCACCATGAACGAACAAAAAATATTTTCATCATTTACGATAATATTAAGATATAAATTATTGTCGATTATAAAAACTTTTTTTACTGAGTAATTATTTTAAACAATACAAGCGATCGTCTTTTGGAAAATATTTTCTAAATAATTCATTTTTCGCGAAATAAACGGAGCTTGCATAATCAACCCCTCACATCAAAGAGCCAAATTTCTATAAAATCATCATTAAGTCGCTATCACTTTATTTCAAGGAAAATTTCACATTACCCCTAAACTCACAACTACTTAGGCATTAACCCAGAAACTTCAAATCCTTTCGGTTTAAACCCCCTAAACTCCTTACCCTCTTACAATTTTCCTCTAAGAACTCTCATCCTTTTGCTCGTGAAGCCCCATCCTTTAATAAATCCCTACACTATAACCCTCTCGAATTTGCAAATTATCTCATTCTCTCCGTCCATCAATTTTCCCTCTATTTTTACGTGATAAAATTGAAAGAAAAACCCAGCTATTACAAGGGAAAAAATCACCAAAAACCCCAAACTTTGCCATCTGTGACACATTTACCCCGAACTTTTTTTTTGTGACACCAAAACCTCGAACTTTGCTTTTTGTGACACATTTACCCCAATGTATTTAGTCCATGGGCATTTTCGTCTTTTTGCTTTTTCTTTTTTTTTTTCCTTTCCGGCGAGGGCTCCCCTCGCCGGATCCGGCGAGGGCCGCCCATCGCCGGATCCGGCGAGGGGGCCCTCCCCGCTGCCGAGCGAGGGTGGCCCTCGCGATCCGGCGAGCGGCCCTCGCCGGCGTTGGGCGGAAAAATTTGAGATTTTTGATTTTTTCCCTATTTGCGGTACGATTAATCCAAGGGACGTTAGCAAATCGCTCCATCCACATACACTCGGGTAAGGTTTTATCACAATCAAAGTGGCAGGCATGGCCCCAAAGTTACTGTGAATGGGCGACGCTTTGATTTGAACACGACATCTATTGAATTCGATTCAAGAACTTAGGTTTCGTTTGTTTCATGGAAAATAAATACTTAGAAATTATTTTCCTTTAATGCATCTCTTTTTATCTTTCACCATGAACAAACAAAAAATATTTTCATCATTTACGATAATATTAAGATATAAATTATTGTCGATTATAAAAACTTTTTCTTGAGTAATTATTTTAAACAATACAAACGATCGTCTTTTGGAAAATATTTTCTAAATAATTCATTTTTCGCGAAATAAACTGAAACTTGCATAATCAACCCCTCACATCAAAGAGCCAAATTTCTATAAAATCATCATTAAGTTGCTATCACTTTATTTCAAGGAAAATTTCACATTACCCCTAAACTCACAACTACTTAGGCATTAACCCAGAAACTTCAAATCCTTTCGGTTTAAACTCCCTAAACTCCTTACCCTCTTACAATTTTCCTCTAAGAACTCTCATCCTTTAATTTGCTCGTTAAGCCCCATCCTTTAATAAATCCCTACACTATAACGCCCTCTCGAATTTGCAAATTATCTCATTCTCTCCATCCATCAATTTTCCCTCTATTTTTACGTGATAAAACTGAAAAAAAACCCAGCTATTACAAATAATCGAACTCTAACTTTACATTTTGAGCACCCTATAGTTCAAGTAGTTGGTTCGAGCGCTCGGGATTTCTAGTTCAGAAAGTAATGGTTCTCTGCTCCACACATAAATTACCTGCATACTCCTCTGAGTCGGGATTACCTGTAAACAATTTGTAAGAATTGCAGGGTATTTCACAATGGGCATCTAGATAGCCGACCTTTATACCTGTGCCCTTGGATTATAGTATAAACTTTTACACTAGGGAGTTCGCCAAAAAAAACACACACACACATTTGGAAGGGGATTTCGCAATTTCGAAAAACTTATCTGGGAAATAAATACCACATACTTCTCAGAGGAAATTCAATCACAAATTACAACAAGATCTAGGTGGAATTCTGATAAAGGAAAGGAAAGTATATGTGCAAGTTGGCACCTACATAAAAGGGACGTGACAACTTTTATTGAGAATAGATCCAAAAAAAAAAAGAAGAAAACTTTTATTGAGAATGAAACTCATAATTGCAATTTCGCTCCTCGACCTTTTGAACTTTCCAGTACCAATAATTGATATTTGAAGTTCAGCAAAAAAATAAAAGATTTAAAAAAATTTCAATTTTTAAGGGGCACCACGCAGTGTACATAATTTTGTGGGACAAAATGAGGTTCACTTCAATAATTGAAATGTCCTTCTTAGAGTCAGAACTGCCGAAGAAGCCCGGCAATAACTCGATTTGACTTCAAACGCATTTGAAACGACTTCCATTTAAAATTTATTGTTTTGGCATCATTCATCCATTAAATTTTTATTTAACGTGAAACACTTGAAATATATCAAAATATTAAAATATTAACATGTAATGTCATATATATATTTTTTATAATTTTTTTTGGAATTTGAATAGTTCTTTTCATTCTTAAATTTGAAAAAGGAAAGTCGTGAATTGAATTAATAAGTAGTGGCTGATGGGTTGTCCCGAATAGAGACTTCGTGTATTCGTGCAAAAGACGTCCATGGAAAAGCCGGATTCGAAACAAAACTGGTCTGGATTAACATTGAGCTGACAACATGAAATATTAGAGTGTCTAAAAAGCAATTACACATGTAAAGATCGAAATTTGGCTTAATATATTTACGCTTTTTGGCAAACCAGCTCGGCTCTTTGATTGTCGTCGCATCCGGCGGAGGCGACCCAAAAAAGATGTCAACGGAAACGTAGAGCTATTGCCCCGGGGCGGCCTGAACTTCAGATGATAGGGGTTGTGACCGAGATCGCTCCTTAGTTCTACACTCGGGCACAAAGTGCGTGGATGGAGTTATGAATCTATGCGAATGTGAGTGCGAGGAAAGATCAATTGCATGAAAGTAAATTGGGCAGACAACAATTTGTTGCAATGAATAGATAGACATTTATTGATTAAGACGAGTGTTTTTCTACATGTAGTGAAAATGTACACGTATTCCCTTAAAAGTAATGAACTATGTCTTCATTTTGACGGTTTAAACTTTTAGATCAGTTGATTGTGAACTCATAAAAGCTTACACGACTTGGGACATATCTGCTATACATTCATTCTCCACTCGGTAGCCTGTGTGAAAGTGTTATGCCATGTTATCTGAACAAGCCGCGGGATGCTGTCTCTGTTGTTCAAGCTGTTTCAAGTGCTCATAGTCGTAGCATGCTTATGGAACCTTTGCTGACTAAATGCGAAGAACTGCCGTCGGAGTTGTAGGAATACAGGAATCGAGCTCATATTCAGAGAAGCGAATGGTACTGCAGATGCATCGGCACAACTTGGAAAGGAGGAAGACATTCAGTCTACTATCAATCCGCCAAGAGCGTTTCTATTTCAGACAATGTAATATCGAACTTCTTGTTTAAGAATCTCTGCTGATTACCCGGAAAAGAAAGACCTTGTTTATCAAATATTTGACTGGAAGAGAAACAGTATGTCAATATGTTATGTGGGTACAATGATAGAGATCCTCGTAGATTCAGCTAGGCAAAATCTACCGCCTGAAGAAATGAAAACCAAAACTGTTCTTGCTAGGACTGTCCTAGAAGCCCCACCCCTCCATGTACTGCAATTAAGAGCGCAACCAGGACCGCTCCTAGTCTTTCGACTACACATTTTCGCTTCCTTCGTTCAAATTAGCAAAGTACAGGTTGTTCTCGAGGCCGTTCGTCTGTTATGGTCCCGCAGCATGTATGTCCATCTTTGTCGAAATTTCAAGAGGTCGAGATTGGTCGGACTTTGCTTCGCATTAATTCCGGTCGTCATTATTGAGGTTGTATGCACCATGTGAGTGTTGAAAACAATAATATGAACCGAAGGAGTGGTACAGCAGATGGGCCTGCTGATTTTTACCGCAAAAACAGCTCGTGTTTTCGAATTTCGTCTGCTCGTTTCACATTTCTGTGCAAAGTGAGGCTAGTATGGATCGGGCACGAAAGCTGGACTAAAATATCACCCGATTGCTAGTTGCTATACGAAAACAAGCTAGCATGAATCAGAATGACAAAATGACAAGCCAGAAGAGAACTCTTCTTGAACAAAGTTGTTCGATTACTTAGTATATCTGATCATATGGTTCCAACCTACTAACAAATCAACATTGTTCAACACAAAGAAACAATGCCATCACAACCCACAAACAAACGACTGAACGAAGCCAACAAAAAAAAGACCACAACCTAAACAAAACAGTTTCAGCTTCAAACAGACTCGGAGCGATCGCTTGAATCAAGAGATAGAGAACCTCCTCCTCCTAGGCTTGGTGATATCGACAGCATTTTCTAAGTTGGACGTGTCCTTCGACCCGTGCCTGAAGGGGTTCAACTTCCCCAGAGTCTTCGACATCGAAGAGAAGAAGGTGGGGCGCTTTGGGCCACCTTTTGCTGACGTTGACCCATGATTGGTCTTCTGCAAGTCCGAAATGTACATCTTCATCTTCAACAGCTCGGACCGTAGCTGCTCGTTCTCCTTTAACAGGGACGAATCAGCTTGCAGCTGATTCCTTGTTGTCACGGCGTCCGGCCCTTTATGGTCATCCGTGCCGCTCCTCAGCTTCAGCTGATCGTAGTAGAGTGTGTGCAGGACAATCTGCACAGGCAGCCGCTTGTTCTGTGAAGCATGGAGCCGGGCTTCGTGAGATAGCTTCAGTGGGTCCATCATGCTGCACGCCTTCTCTCGTTCAATCTCGTCGAGGGTCGGATGAGACTGCAAAGTTCTCTCGACTGTCATCTCTAACACTATACGCAGAACATGTTCTATGACTAGGAAAGGATCTATGAATGTGATGAAAAATGATGATCATTGTGAAGAAAAGATGCAGGCATTACAATGAATATCGTAGCTATACAAAGTTTATGATTCTCACCTTCAAGTAGATATCAATTGCACGATAAAGATCATCGTTGACCTTTCGGGCTCCTTTAGGCACGATATTAGCAATCCCGTTGAACTTTGGGATGCTGAGCTCGCCGTAGGTGGCGATCTCGCCGAGATAAGCATCCACTGTCTTAGTGACCCTCTGCATAGCAGTGGAACAGGTCTCCCTGAAGTCCCCACCGTTGAAGACCGCCATGCTCTTCTCCTTTTCCACAAACCCCGACACTATCCTCCTCACGCTGTCCAGATCAAAGAGCCTCTCGCCATCATAGGTAAATGAAAGCACCAGAAGGTCATCGACTGTCACGTGCTCAAGGATGACCGATATACGCTTTTCGAGCTCATTCTTGCAGCTGGTGGAGGCTTTGAGATAAATGGCCGAACGGAGGAGGCAACACAGGAAGTTGATTGGAAAAGCGGCTTTCTCTGAGGGCAAGAGGGAAACTATTGATTCGAGAAGCTCTCTTTGTTGGGTCCTAAAGTCGGGGTCATCAAAATCTGAGGACTTTGTTCCATTGCCCGTGTGGTCTCGTACAAGATCTCGCAGCGCTCTTTCTGTGTATGTTATGATGGCACTAGCTAAAGTCAGAGATTTCGCGCCTCGTTGCTTCATCGCTGAGATGATCTTTCCAAAGAAAGTAACACTTAGTATTGATAACTCCTCGGTCCACCAGTTGGTCGGAGAGCGACTCGGGAAATTGGCCTCATTACATGCCTGCACAAGCGTATCCTTCCTCAGTCAATTCCGTCCAACGAATGCATCTCAAAATGGGGGACAAATCAAGAGAAGGGAGTTAGGTTTACATTAAAACTGACTAAATCGACACATCTCTGGACAATTTTAAGGTCTTCGGCCATTGGAAGAAGATCTTCGCATGACTTGAGCACGACGATGGCACCAGACAGGCTCGACAAGGCCACTTGTGCGAGGAAATCATCAGTGCGCCCCGTGAGGTTGTTGTCGCAGTATAGATCCGTCATCTGGAGGTACTCCGCTGCGCAGCGTAGAGCTGCCACGTTGTGGACGGTGATCTCGAAGTTGACGCCATAGCAAAACTTTGCTGCTTTCTCGAAGATCTCGGGGCCTCCAGGGATGTTGGACAAATCTATCCTCGTGAGGTCTGGTTCTTTAGTTTCCATTATCAGTTTCCTTATGTAGTTGCTCTTTGCCAAAAGCATGAACTGCCATGAAAATTGAATGTTCAGCTTACGCAGCATAATCAATTAGCTTGATCAGGCATGACAAAAATTACGAAACATGGTTCTTATTACCTTGTGAAGGGAGAAATTCGCTTCTCCTACTCGTACAACCACATCGGTCGGAACCTCCTGAGAGAAGACCCTGCATCCAAGTTTCATCACAATCACTACTTAGAGACTGGTCATACATAAAACCAGAACAAGTATGATAAGATTGATGTATCCGATTAAACGGTAAAGTACCACTGGCCGGTTCTCTCCAATGCAATAGATAGCCTCTCATTGGCCCGGACAGGCGTTGCCATGGCTACGTCAATTCAGGATGAAAGGAACACGAAATGAGATTCTTGCGGCTTCAACTGGAGATCATACAACCACGAGTCTGCGTGGTGCTTTTGGAGATTTTAGCTGGTTTCTGAGGTGAAGCATGCGAGAATGAAATTTAGAAAAGAAGAATCGCACTTCGATAGGAACGTCTACAAAGCAATCTACACCATAGAAAGCAGAAGCGAAGCCCTTAAATAAAAATCAGTGGCAACTTTTCACTGCATCACAAGTACTGTCATAGTTTCCAACATCTTATAAGACATATTAAGGAAATGTCATGAGCAGTACGGATTGATGAGATCTACGATTGTACCAGTAGCAGGACATCATAATAGACTGTAGGACTACAAAACCAACCCACAAGCATAAGAAACTAGCGAATTGCTCCGACTACTTTCAACGCATCCCTAATATAATCTAAATGAAACCAGAACTTTGTTCGAAAGATAAGTAAGCATCAGCCCAACCAGATCCTATAAAAGACATGATTAAATTGCTGGTCAGTGGTGCCACAGAAGCTTCTGTACATAATCAGTAGACTCAAAGCTGAATTGAGCGCGATTTCTCTACACCAAGTACTTCGATGAAGTCAAGCATTGCGTGCAACAGATCACAACGGGGGTTCTTATAGTTATAGCAACTGAATATTGCATTTTCATAACAGCAAGATCTCAAAGATTTATAGACAAATCTGGGTTATGAAATGATCATTCCGTGCGATACTAGGGAAAATAAGCACTCTCTCATGTCTCCAACATAGACAAGGACCATCCAACTAGTTATCATTGCGTTCCACTTCCCGCACAACTGTCTCTCTCCACCTAGTAGAAGAGCTACGAATTCTTTTCCTGCGTTTCTTTCTTGGTTTCTTATTGCAAGCAACTACAAAAGATTGATCACATCCCTATTTTTTTTTTCGCGATCAAGAACCTCGGTCCAAGAACTCAGTCAGCAAGCAATGGCGGCTGAAAAGTCTTCTCATCACTGAACAATCTATGTCAAGAACACGTTAGCATGATAACCAAGGAGAAGCTTACCAGTGTGAAGCCAGTGAAACAAAGCTGAGCGAGCAGGGTTGGATGGACAGATACACCTTCCTCCCGGATGACTTCGTGTCTGCAAATTTTCCGATCAGATAACTGGATCAGAAAAAGTGCCGCAAGATCCTGCCTTATAGAATCTGATCTCGAAAGAGATACAACCAAGAACAATTATTCTTGTCAACGTCGAAAGAAAGAGAAAGAAGAGACGAAAACAAGTGGACAGGACTTGTCCAGCTACCGAGGCCTGAAAGCTTGGACGACGTAGCGCCATGTCACCTTCATGGCAGTCCCACTCTGACACTTGGGGCCCCCGCACGGCCTTGACCGGCCAATGGGTGGATCCCACGTGGAGCCGTGTCTGCCCGCCTTGAGGTAATGGATACCCACCGCCATGAATTATGAAATCGGACGTATTTGCTTAATTGGTAAGAGCAAATATGTGATTTGTGGACGGAAGCGAAGCGACCCAGAATTGGAAAAAGCAAATTTGGGGAGCACTGCAGTTCCCAAAATTCCACTTTACCCTCGTCTCAATCATTGATGTGATTTTTGGGTGACTTTGTACTGTGAAATAATCATGAATTATCGTGCTGTAAATTAATATTAATTACGTCACATCATACGAAGCAAAGACTTGAATTCTTTTCGCAAGCAAAAATTTCATTTTTTTGGTGATTATCCAAAATTCATCGTATCGTTTCAAATTAATTTTCACACTTTCCGACTTGAAAAGTATCAAAGGCTAGAAGTGAATAATCGCTCCAGGGTGTGTATGAATTATGAAGCAATAAATAACTACAAACCATGTCATTTGAAATTGATTAGGTCAACCAGCATAGAACAAAACCGAGATTTAATCGGTGCATGAGATTTGTTGGGTGCTTTATGAGTTTCCAAATAGTCGGGGGCATCTTCGCTTATGTTTCTAGATTATAAAAACAAATGTTACGATAATTCTTAAACTCCATTTGTTTCGAGGAAATAAATGATTTAGTAAATATTTTTTTCTCAAAAGACAATCGCCTATATTGTTTACAAAAATAAATAAATGAAAATTATTTTGATCATTTAGGAAAATATTTAGATATAAATTATTGTCGATAATGTAAACATTTTCCATTAACTAATAATTTCAAGCAATCAATTTTTTTAAATTTTTTTTTAAATTATTTATTTTTCGAGAAACAAACATTTTAGGCGATGGTGCATTGACCATCAGTAGGTGAACATTGTGGTCTAGATTGTCAAAAAAAGGCTTTCCAAACTTGCATGGGTTGCACGGGCAATGTAGGCGATTCACGAGTCTCTCCTGCTGTTATCAGTCAAAAGCTAAAATCCTAAATGAGACACGGTTCATCTCCCTCTCCCTTCCCTTCTTCTAGGATCAAGGGGGGAAGGGACTCACCACAAACACCACGTGGACCCGGTCTATAGTCGAAGGTTGATACGAACCTTAAAGAGCATGTGAAATTCACGTGAATCCTGAGACCGTCGAGCAATTTGCGCTGTGATTAGTTGGTAAGCCTTTGCACTTTTACTGATAGTTTTAGCGCTGAGGAGGCGAGACGAGCAAAACAACCTTATCCGGGCTCAAATCCGTGACGCCCAATTAGATCAAGTCGAAATTCCGATGGTGAGAGGTCGCTTTCAGATCAGAGTTCACATGGAAGGAAAGCTCGTGAGCACCGATGACTTGTCTTCCCCGACGTGGGTCAGACTCTAATGTTGGAGTACTTCAAGCGTGGGGGCCGAGGTACGCAAGTTTGGTCCCGAACGCTGGGCTCCTCCACAGCAAATATGTGGAAGCAAATCGTTCGGATTTCAATGGAGTTCCTTTCAATAATCAATAAGCAGGTGTGGTGATCGTGGAGTTTGTCCTTGGTATACACAGTGCCATTAACTTCAAGATTATCCTATGTACATCGAGTCCGATCTGTATAGCTCTGGCTGAACTGTCGCTATATCGTCCCGCATAGCAGTTGCACGAACCTGGGTACGTTAGGCGGTTTCCTAAAAAGCTGTGTAAGCGGCCGTAGCTTTGGAGGTGTTGTAGCTGTCGAGGAAACTGCCGTGGGGAAGGTTGTCTCAGACAGCCTCGTCGTCTACTTTTGTTTACGCTGAGTTTCGAAGAATTAGCTACTGATTCTCGTGACGGTGGTCCATTTCGACCGACTTAATGTCACGAGTATAGTGCCATATTTTGTAGCAATATGCAATTAAGTTTTGCTAGCTTTAGAAGTTTGCGAGATCCTCAGCCTCGAAGGCAAGAATCTTAAAACGGTACGACGCTATTCATGTTTCTCCATCGGAATCGCCTTTTCGCGAGAGCCGTGGTACTGCGAAGCGCGCATCGCCCACAGATAGGGTTCTATTATTGAAGGGCCAAAGTTCTCAGTAGGGTTCACCACACTAGAAAGAGAGAGAGAGAGAGAGAGAGAGAGAGAGTCTAGGTAGCCAATGTGAACCTAAGTTTATCAAAAGACTGAATTATTTCTCTCAACTCGTTCAGGTTTCTAAAGAAACTGACTGGGACAAGCTGTCCTGAAACTAAAATGAGAGAGGTACAAAGAGATATCTCAGACTGGCAAGAACAAGTTGCTGAAGCATGAGGACCTTTTAGTTCAGTGGGTAGATGAGAAGTTACACAATATCTAGATATTCTTTCTCAAGCTTTTAAGGATCGAGAGGTTTCCTCTTCCTACAACTTGCACAACGGTAAATCTCGGCGGCGGCACGAAGTTGATTGATCGTCAATTTGATGGGACTACAAGTCCCGAGTATATCATTTAATCGGGTGCCCTTCTCGGGACCTATGCCCGTGATTTTTCGCGGCCGAGGAACTCAATCAGATCCATTTGCATCCGTTTACCCGTGCAGAGGCAGTAGCAAAATCCTGAGTACTTAGATAACCGGCATGCGAATATGAGGCTCTGGTAGTGCTCCTATCTATCCAGAGGATTTGATGTCTCTAGCAACTATTGAGTCTTGACTTCTGCTTTATCTATATGGTGTAACCTCATCACGAGTGCTCTAAAAGGAGGAAGGAAACAAAAAGAGTAGATTGATAAGTTCTTTCCCCTATCCTTCTTGATCTTCTGGACGGCGCGTTGAGTTAAGTCCCATCCCCATCAGGTTGGATGGGTTGGCGCATATACTGTTGAGAAAAACTCATCCCCCGATCGGCATATTCGAAACATATTCAAACAACGCAGAAAATGTGCTCAATAACCATTAATTTGTATCATCGATCGTACATGTATATCACATAATAAATATACCCGATATTATCACGGATTAAATGCCACTTTGCACTTGAGAGTGATCTTCGATCGTCTTTCGTACCCACTTACGTTCAGAAGGAAAACCAGAGAAGACGTTATATCGAAGATGTGTGTTATTTCGCGTATGTGAAAAAAGAGAGTCTACTATTTATAGTAAGAGGCAAATAACCACTTTGTGGGCCTTTGTGGTTAATGGGCCTGGTTTGGCCCATCTTGAGCGGCCCACCCATTATGCCTCTCGTATACAAAAGGACTTCACCCTCTTGATGTTCTATTTGTAGAGTGCATTGTTTGTCGCGAATGACAGTAGTCATTCAGCGGGATGATTGTGATACAAAATTATCCATTAGCTATGTGTGTTCCTTCTCATGGAATGGGGTGTATCACTACCTTCCCACTTGCTCTGTTCGTCTCGACGTAGGAGAAGGCCTCGGCAACCTGAGAAAATGGGAAGGGTCCCTTGGGGTCGACTATTGGCTTCACCTTCCCGCTTTCGATGTATGGGTTCAGCTTCTTCAGGACCTCTCCGTTGGAAGTGACTACGAATCTGAAACCCGGCGGTACCACGGCGCCGGTTAGGGCCACCACGATCCCTCCCTCTTTTATAACTTTGACTGCCCTGTCGCATTGACCTGTCGAAAAAAAAAAGGGTATTTGTTAGCCCAATGTTCGCACAGGGATGGCCAAGGAATGCATCACTTAAATCGACTTAACTGTCGTAAGCAGGAGCTACTAAATGTCGAATACTCTCGACCTCGTCAAAGATGTAATCTATGAAAGCTTCTATTGTAATTTGGTTTGCATCACTATACTTATTTCATCTATTGATGTTTTCCCCCACGTATTTTCTTTTGAAAGGACAATTAGGACACTCAAATGTCCTTAATTAAGCATTTATAAACATCAACTGCTAACTAGGATAATGGCAACATGAAAGAAGCCCAATGTCGAGCAACATCTAGTTGGGATCAATTGAACCATCTTGAGATAATCACCTCAATATGCAGTAACGAAAGAATTTCGCTGAAGTAACATCCTGAATTTTTCGCTTCTAAGAACTAAGAGGGTATCAGATCATGTATATTACCAACAGCATCATAGACTACATCAAAATTTTCTGGGAGGTCTTCGAAGTTTTCTTTTGTGTAATCAATCGCCAAATCAGCACCCAAGCTTTTCAAGAATTCCAACTTTCCAGTGCTTGAAGTGGCTGCTACTCTTGAAGCACCGAATACATGCTTTGCTAGCTGCTCAAATCAAAGTAAAGTTAGAGTTGCACATTTTTTCTGCAAGCAGAAACTCTTGTGCATTTCCTCATGGTGGGGTTTCAGGGGTGGAGAGAGAGATAGAGACCATGAGTTGGTTCAATTGCTGCAGGCCAGCTTGCAGAAAAAGTAGACTTGCATTCAAGTATCATATACCCCAACAACCACATCGTCTAAATGAACAATTCAATAAGCATAATATAAACTTAAGTTGATATGCAATGGAAAGAACGGCCTTGCTCGGTTCTTGAATTATTTATGTCCTACACAACTGCAAGGCATAAATAGAAGAAATCAGAACCATATCTGATGCTAGACAAGGATGAGGTGCAAAGTTAAGAACTATCTCAACTCTAAGGTCTGCATGAAAACGGTTTTTCAACTTGGGAATGGAATTTCAAATTAGAACTATTTAATCCTCGTAGCTAGACGTAGGCCGAGTTACTAAATGCAAACACAAAGGTTTTACCTGAACAAACTGCATAATATCTGCCATACCGCACCAGTTTTTACACAAATTTACCCAATCGTGGGCACTCAAACCAGTTCACAGATACTAGTGCTTTCACCTTTTAGAGATAGATCTCTCTGTGCTTTCTTCTACTTGAAAACAAGTATGGTTTTTATTAAAAGAAACAAGTATCACGTGACTTAGAGGCGGCAATGATCATCTCCAAGAAACTACCTGGATGACGAGACTTCCAACTCCACCTGCACTGCCTAAAACAAGAATCGATTTACCAGCAGAGAACCCAGTCCTCTCCAGACCCTCATAGGCTGTCTCGATGGCGAGAGGAAGCCCAGCAGCCTGAGCAAAATCGATGTTCTTCGGTTTGAGAGCCAGTAACTTCTCTTCCACCGCGGTATACTCCGCAAATGAACCGAACTGCTTAGGGCCTTCCAAGGCCTTCTCGTTTATGTTCCCGTATACCTCATTGCCTTCCTTTAGTTCCTTTACCTGGCTCCCGACTTTTACCACCACGCCAGCGACATCGTAGCCTGGAACAGTCTACCAAAGGGAAAGAGAAAAGCATGGCGGAGTAGAAATTGTCAAAATCATTTTGTATCATGAAACTAAATCAGTTGATTGAATGGGATAAAAATTCTCTCGTTCGTATAAAGTGAGAGAATACTAATAGACGTCCCCGGGTGAAAGGTACAATAGAAGATCTACCAAAACAATCTCCCACAGTAAGCTGGAGCTTTGTGTGGCAATTTATCCTAAATTTTTTATGGATAGATGAGCATAAGCACCACATTATCTGTCAAATTTACAAATTTTCCTGTACTATTTAATATTTCCTATAGGTTGGACATCAAATTTCTTTTAGCTAGTAGATGCTTGACAAGCTTTGTCCCCGTTAATAAGGACACTCTTCAAACAAAATTACTTTCCATGCAATCGAATTTTACCGGTTCAAATAGAACGCTGATGGGAAATAAAAATACATGCATAGAATTGTAATGTTCGCAGTCGGGTGGTCGAGAGAATCTTGATTTCCTTAGTAATGAGGATGGAAAACATCAACAAAAGTCAGTTGCTATGACTAGCCGACTGAAATGCAGCTGAGGATGCATTGGGGATGTACGTAGTAAATGGCCTTCAAACCAAAATTTACATTGGTTCTCATAGGAAATGACAGTCATATTTTAATGTGCTATTGTTACATCTTTCTACCATGTCTATTCTACCCTACAAAACCTTTCCCTCGCAAGAAATATACAGCGGCTCAGGTATTACCTGGACTCTAATCCGCATAGACCTAAGTGCAAGAACAGTTCTCTTTATTACAATGAGTACAAGAGAAACTATGTTTCTTCTCCCCTCTAAGAAGAGAATACTTATGAGACAATGCTTAACCAACTAAAGTAACATCTACCAACAGCCGCCAATGGATAACCAATTAGCTTGAGCTACTGCAATATCCAGAATCATTCCCCAACATTGTACACAGATAGGAACACCAGAAGAGTTCACATTTCGAAGGCGGTGTCTCAACTAAAGCATAGCAACTCGAATTCTCTCTCTCAGTTCCATTGGGTGACACTTTAAGCTCCCATACGCACATACCAACATTCCCCTATGCACGGCCTTTGCGGCAATAAGTGCTGTGACAGAGCCACATAAACGGTCCAGTTATGCAGTGCGCTGGTCCTCCCAGCTCCGGGTGTCAAGCCTAAATTGTTCTGGCACCAGTTAAGCACTCGTTTCATCCACAAATTCGAACCAGTTCGTACAGTCTGTGCATTCTGTTAGTAGTATCCACGTAAGTGTCACTGTGTTGACTGGCTATTCAATTCTCTTCTCAATCCTCATAACTGTAAATAATTCACCTCCCACAGCTTCTCTACAACCCACCAAATTTGCTCTCCCCTCACCGTGTTTTCCCTCCAACCAACAAAAACCCGAACCGTCGAAACAAGATTAGAAAAACCCGAGGAAGAAAGATTCATTACCGGGAGAGGAGAATCGGTGGCCTTGAACTTGCCCTGCCTCCTCTTGGCGTCGACCGGGTTGAGCGCGGCGGCGACCACCTTGATCAGCACCTGATCCTCCTTCAACTCCGGCACCGACACCTTCGGGTCGAACTTGAGCACATCAACCCCGCCGTACTCGCCGTACACCCACGCCTTCATCTCGCCCGGCGCTCCGGCGGCCTTGGCGGCCTCAGCGGAGGCAGGGGCGGCCTGGGAGCTGGCGCGGACTCGGAGCGGGGCTGCCGGGTTCCGCCGTCCAGCGGCGACCGCCTTCTTTCGGGTGTGCCGGAGAGCCGGAGCGATGGAGGAAGAGAATTTGAGAGGGAGTGAGGAGGAAGAAGACGAGGAGTGGAAGGTAGTCAGCTGGCGAGCTGCGGATGTGAGGATGGCCTCCATTTTTTCACCAAGTCTTTCTCTCTAGCTTATCTTCAATGCCCTTTTATAGTTACCGTTGCTCCCCCTCTTTTTTTTTTCTCTCTCTCTTTTTGGTTTGAAATGCTTCTGACAAAATTTTCTTATTTTTTATTTGGGAAATGAGAAGTAAGATTTTGATAGTAGAATTAAGTTACCTTGGGAGCTAATCCAATATAAATTGCAAAAATATTTCAGCTTTGCTCAATTTTTATTCTTTCAATCAGAGCTCAGGAGTAAAATCCATAATTTGAGCTTTCCTTGTACGAATCTTTTAATAAAAATTACATTTTCCGTCCCCGTACTTTTTCAGAATGTCCAAATTCTATCTACGCACTTCATTTCTATAACCACGGACGCTTTGCGTAACATTTATTAATAAGATTTTAAAATGAGAATTTTTTCGTATCCTAGCTGTTAACAAATAAATCGAAACATATTCTTATACGTCCTCATGATTAATATCGATGGCCTATCTAGTATAAAGGCATGAACTCGTGTGTCGCCGATTGTCGTATAAAAATATAATTATGGATTTATATATTCAGCATTTTCCCTCTCTCAAAACGCATCGTTTTTCTCCCGTCCTTCCGAACTAAGGGTGAGCAAGATGGATCGCCCAAATCGGAATCAGATTGGACGGGACCGAACCGATCGATTTTGTCCGATTCTCGAGAGTATCGGTCCAGTTCTCGATTCTAGAGTGGGAACCGGACCGGACCGGACCGATAAATATATATATTTCTAATTTTTTCATATATATATATATATATATTTTTTTTTTAAAAATTTTGAAAAAAATAGAAAACCTAATCTAATTTCCCTAATTCCCTCTTACCTTTACCAATAAGTTATTGGTCTCATTGGAACCTGTCCACGGTCTCAAGATTAGCTGGTCCGGTCCTAGAAACTAGGAACCGGTCCTTCCGGTCCGATTCCCGGTTTTTTGATCGGATCGGATCGGACCGGATCGGAAACCGCTCGCTCCTAATCCGAACAGGGGAGGGAGGGCCCGCAGGCGCAGGGGATGAGGCCGAGACACGTGCCAAGCACGTGATCCAACACGGTACGCGGATATAAAAGCCCTCCCTTCTCGCTCTCCTTTCTTTCTTCTGGTCGATCTCTCTTCGTGCGCCCGAAGCTCCGTCTCTGCCGCTCGCGCTCGGCCCCCTCTCTCTCTCTCGCCCAATCGATCAAATCGATCGATTCTAGGAACAAGGAACTCAAATCGTTTGATCGATCCAGGTAGGTTGTTCCATTCCATTGTCGATCGCTTCACGAGATCGGTCGTGTTCTCTCTTTTCGATCGATTGAAGTTTGAGCTTCGGATTTGGCAGCAGCAGCTGCGGCGGCGGCGGCGGCGGCGTCGCCATCCGGATCGGACGACCTCCTCCCGTCTCGCTCGAGCTCCCGTCGATTCGGCGACACCAGGTAGGGGTAGTTCCTCTCGATCGCGTTTGTGTCCTTTCGTTGTGTGTGTGTTTTGAGGATCGCTGAATGGGCGGCGCATGTTCCCGTCCGAGCTCGAGAGATGGATTCCCGAAGGGGAGTCGAAAGATGATGGCCGCGTGCATGTTTATTCGCTGGAGAATGTAACCTCTCCTGCGCGCATTTTGTTGAATGGAGCGGACGGTTTTGGGTCCTGGTGACGTGGGGGAGACCCGATGAAGTTCGAATCTTGTGTTTTCCGTAACGATGAACTCTTTTTTCCCGATTTTAAAAAAAAAAAGAAAAAAAGAATGGCTTTATTTTTTGAACCGGGGAGATTCCGCGAATCGGGATCCCAATGCATGGAGATGCAAAAATGGTCCGATGGGAGAGCGAGAATTTCCTGAGACAATGGGAGCATGTCGGTTTCTGTGGATAGCCAAATCAAAAGTCTGAATTTACTTGACTGGAAGCATTTCGAAAAGATAGTACAAGCATGGGAGATGGAGATGAAGCTGCACTGTTTGTTTCCTTTTTTTTCTTTCCAGTTGATCTGCTGAGGATGGCTGAAGTATCCAAACCGGAAATGAAGAAGGCTGTGTTCAAGAAGGTTTGCAAGCTCCGCCCACTCGAAACTGGGATAAGTCTCACGGTGAAGGTTGTTAACACGAAGGTGGTCGCACCGAGGGGTCGACAGATGCGAGCTGCTGAAACCTTGGTGGGCGATGATACGGCCATGATAGTTTTCGTCGCGAGAAATGAACAAGGTACGTTAATTGTAACGAGAACTTTTGGTTCACTGATGATACTGTGTTGTACTGTGTTCTTCTCCTGCTGCTAACCTCTGAATAGATCATCTGTTTAAAAACTTTGGGCGTTAAGAAGGCAAGTCTGGGACCAAAATAGAAAAAATATGGGCAACCTCTTTGAGACACAATTGACGAGGCCCAGATGGCTTAATTTTTGTATCTTTTGAAAACAGTTAATAGAAATACTGGTTCTTCAAGCACTCAATATGTCTGTATCATAAACTAGATGAAGTGTCCACATACCGGTGTCTATTATACGGAATACTAATTAGACAATCCCCGTGTCTAAGATTTTTCGGAAAGCCTAATCAGATGCGCGGATCTGCACTCACACCCGATCCTTGCACCCAAGTCCAGTTAGCTTGGATATGGATTAACATATTCAAGTAATCATACAAAATGTTGCAAATGATTACACCTTTGTTAGATTGTCAATCTGTTGCCGTCATCCAACAATTCAATCTTTTTTCTCGCCATGACTGGCATTAAAAATAATCTGTCTGAATAATTTAAAGAAAAACTACGAGGTTAGACCTGACTATAATATGTCAGATCCTACATAATATGATAGGTTTAGATAGGCTAAATGCTGAATTGAATAGTTTGATACTTTTAACTCGAATTGATTGATTCTCTTCTTGTTCTATCTTCCATAGATTTTGTCAAGTTAGGCCATATAATTTGATGTAATTTATCCATCGAGTTGTGAATATTTAGATTCTGGTTACAGTGGCTGCCTTTGTTGGACCTATATATTCTTTTTTTTTTTGAGTTGTATTCAATGTGATTGTATCTGTATCAAGGATGACCTATAGATCTCAAATTCCAACAAACATTGTCGGACAGTAAATAATTCTAGCTGATTATTATCATTCTTTGCCATATTTACGTGGTCAATCTTACCTGCTGTGGGGTATCAGTATCGTTCTCTGCTGTCAATATCCTGCCTGCTGTTTGATGAAGTCTTGAAGGGCTCAAGTGCTAATCTGGCAAAGTTTCAAGACCACGAATTTGACATTGAGTATTTACCCTGTGTTACGTGGACTCGGGTTTGGGGATTGGGTATAGGTGCGCATGTGTAAGACTTGGCCTTTTAGGAAATCTTAATTACAAGGATTCATCTGAAAAAGGATCCATAAAATAGACATGGGTACTTGAACACTTGATGTAGCATGTGACACATACATATAAAGTTCTTGAAGAGCCTGTATTTTCTGGTGATATCTTTCAAAAGATACAAAAATTAAGTCCTTTGGGTCTTGTCTGGCAAAATATAAAATCGGGCGTGCTGTTTCGAATATGGTTTTACGTAGTCTATTGAAATTATTAGGCTTGTCAAGTGTTTTTTAAGGGTAGACCGTATCTTTTCTATTTCGGTCACTGATTTGAATTGTTTAGGCCCAAAGTCTTTAAAGTATGCGATCCAATTATAAGTCTTAGATTAAAGCCCAGCCTAATCACTTAGACTTTTAAAACAAAGCCTCATTTCTTAAGTGTGCAGGTGATTACTTTTTCCCCCGCGTGATCTTCTTCCTCAGTTCTAGGGGTTTCGAACTCTATGCTAGATAAGCATGTAAATAAGGAAGACAAAACGTAAAGTGTGAGAAAAGTAAATCCCTATACGGTGTCGGGCAAAAAGAATAAGCATTGCCTTGTTATTACGCCTTGGGATAAGACCCTTATAAGTGGTACCCAGAACTAAGCGTGTCTATATTTCAAAATCAGATAACATGCACGACCATGAACCAGACAAAATGATCAACCGGCTAAATAATAGCAATGAAATTTTAATCAACGAATTATCCCTATCTCTATTTGCAATTCTAAACTAAACGCCACGCTAACTACTCTTTTCCATCATTTCTCTTTACCAACTTTTCTCTTTTTTAATTACTCAAGATGACATGATCTAACATCTACACCATACATTAGATTAGAACTATACGAAATTAAACATAAACTCAAACAGCCTTTTGCCTTTTCCATGTGGGCTATGTGATTGTAGGAAATTTCTCTAACCAACCTTTTTTATTGGTGGTTACCTATTGAACATATTGAACTTCACCCTCTATAGTAGACTAATCTCTCTCTCTCTCTCTCTCTCACACACACACACACACACACACACACACACACACACACACACACATCTTAGCCCACCGAGCACCGTCGTACCCCACAGAGACCATTGACTCCTCCGAGCACAATTCCTTTGTAAAGAAGTCACAAGTTACTGGTGGAAGGCCCATGAATGACTGACACATATACCTTGATTAGAGCGCCCACATAGCCATTCCATAGTTTTTGCATAGGCTCTATGTAATATCACCAATTTGGTATTATGAGGGGCGATTTCTGTGTAAAGTTATTCGCTACTGTGAGGGTATTATTTCTCTTACGACCCTGGAATGGTAATGTAAATGGAATGTGATATAAACTCATTGTAGTACTAGCACTTAGTACCAAGTAAGGAGCATGTTATCGCGAGGTTCTTGAACACAGGAATTTTAGTGTGGAAGAGTGTAAGGACTTAAAATTTCAATTGCTTAGCAGTCCAAAGTGAGGCATACCTCCTAAGCTTGCATTAGTATCCGTAGGTTCTCAGACAGCTTTGGAAAAGAGAATTGGAATATTTTCTCTCAAACTGTTGCCTCTGAAATGCATGTATGCCCTGTTTTGAATTGTTTAAGTTAACATAAGCGTAAATGGAGTCTTTTCTACTCAATCAGCCGCTTCTTGAATCCATATCTGCACTGTTACTTTGTGAAGCATGGTATTTAATTGCATTATCCACTTTTCTGAAGGAAGCTTAGCTTGGGGGTGACATCGTTTTTTTTTTTTTTTGTTATACCATTATCTATCATCGAGGAGGCTTGGACAATGAGGGACTTGGAAATTTAGTGCTCACTAGTGCTTAACTCATTGGCTACTAATTTAATTGTCAATGAGGGAGCAAGATATAGTTCTGTCCAGACATTGGTTTTGAATACTGAGGGAGTCTAAAACCTAGGGGTATGCAATTTTCAGGTTAGCATATGTAAATTTAGCTTAAAAGTCAAATGAAATTCAAAAGTGCTTTACGTTTTCCTTTTTCTGTTTACATCAATTCAAATGCCATTGCAAGACTTTGACTATTTAGGACTGGCGCAAAATAAGAAGTTTGTGATAAACTGGATGTTCTCCAATACTTACTTTCTTATCGGGCTTTAATAATTCATTATAACTTCTTATCAAACTTGTGGGAATAAGACAAATGGGTGCTGTGGAAACACAGAAAAATGGGCCAACCTTCATAACTATAACACGCTTGATTGCAAAATCTTAAGCAGACATGAAACAAAATAAATTACTTGTGCCGCTTGTACAGGTCAAATAAAAGTTTTTTGAGACACTAAACATGATTGAGTAAACTGTAGAAGTTACTTGCGTGCTGTTTGGGTCAATGTTGGGTCAACTTGCGTGTTTTAATATGAAAAGTGTCCTAATATTTTACAGTTCTGTCAATTCTGTGTTTTACTTTTGAATCGTCTTTTACTACAAATTCTCTGTCTCAGGAAACAGTATGGTTTCTTCAGGGTAAATATACATATATTGTTGTAAATATTTTTATGAAAATGATGCATTGAGTTTGGGACAGTATTGTTTCTTTTTTTTCTTATTGTCCTTTCTGACATACAAGAATTCCTTTCGCTGTTTCACCACTTTTCACACTAGAGGTTGAAACACAGATTCTAGGTTAATACTTTTTCTCTTGAACTGAGACATGAATTAATGTGCACTTGCAATCATATGTTTTGATTTGGACTTCATATGACTGGCCGACAACTAAGCATTATGCTGTCGTTCTCTGGCTATGAAACATTAGTCTGTCTTACTTTCTATTCATCTTTTTTTTTTCTCTGTTGTCGATGTCCAGTTGACTTGATGGAAGAAGGCAGTACCTTAACCTTGCGAAATGCAAAGATCGAAATGTACAAAGGGTCGATGAGGCTTGCTGTAGACAGATGGGGCCGAATTGAAGTCGATGAACCTGCCAGTTTTACCGTGAAGACCGACAACAATATGTCGCTGGTTGAATTTGAAATGGTGAATGTTGTCGAATAGGGAGTTTTTGTTTTTTATGTTTCTGGATAGCTCCTTCTCCCTTCAGCATATCCAATACATTCAGCACTGATGGAACTTTCGTCCAAGTGGATCCAGGGGCTATTTGCATCAGAATATGATCTAATGTGCCTGTTTTGGGCTGAGCTTTTGCCAACTTCTTAGTCTAGATGTGAGGCTGTTTGAATTAATTATACAATAATATCTCATGAAGTTACAAGTTCCTTGAGAATCTTATCGTGTTCCAAATAGCCCATATTGTTGCTGTGGATGTTTGTTTATGATTTCAAACAGGTTGAGTTTGTTCATTGGAAAATGTACTCACTTTGATTTGAGTAGTCTTTTAGGGCCGAAACTGAATGCTTAAGCTATGTACTCACCATTGTGTGATTAGGCTGCTTTGTTGATAGATACCGTGCTCGAAGCTTGAGCCCAGATCGGTTATCCACGGTCTTGCTCGACACGGTAAGAGCTAGTTAGCTTCTAGTAGGCACCCACAAGCCCCTTAAGCTTAAATGGCATATATCCAAAGTTTTAGCCTTTTTTATCTGACAGTTTAGCTCCATTTGTGTTTTCTAGAGTTCTTGGTAAATCCTGGTTGAAGTGGAATGTGCAAATGTAGCATAGTTGAATAAATCAGCTGACACTGGAAGAACTAAATTATTTATCGTTGGCTGTTTCGTGAGGGTAAGTCTTCGTGGCCGGCGGCCATGGCTGGAGCTTGATGAAGCTCGAGGAGCCATCGTGGAGCTTGGGGCACGTTTGACAAGTTACCAAATAGTAAAATTTTCTGTTGTTTTGTTTTCGGAATTAGTTTTGGAATAGAAATTCGTTTGGTAAATTTTTTGTTCCTGAGCACAAATTTGCCAAAATTTGTTCCCATAATCAGTTTTGGAAGAATGCTTCTTATTTTCAGAATTAGTTTTGGAATAAAATCATTCTTGTGGCCGGTTGCCGGCATGGCCAACGAAGGGGAAGGAGAAGAAAAAAAAAGGAAAGAATATTAAAAAAAATTAAATATTATTAATAAAAAGAAATTTTGTGCAGTTGCCAAACGCATTTCTGTTTTTTTTCTATTTCAAGAATAGAAATTTTGGGCAGTTACCAAACGCCTTCAAATGCTTAGAAATTATTTCCAGGTACAGAATAAAAAAGAATCATTTCTGAGCGGAATCGGCTTTTGGGAATAGAATGGTTGCCAAACGCGCCTTTGGCCGCCAGCAATCTCTCAGCACCTCTTTTCAGTTTTTCTTTCTCTCGGGAGCGAGCATCTCTCTTCGACCGCACCAACTTTCAGCCACGTCAGAGACCTCCTTTCAATTTTCCTTTCAATTTCTTTTAATTTTCTTTTTCTAAAATGGCTGATGTAATTGCCACGCTAACACCTCTCTCTTCGAGAAATAATATAAAAAGCCACACTAGCCTTTTTTTTTAGCCAAACTAACGGATGGACTTGATTGAAACAATTTGATAAATTTTAAGATTCAATCACACTTGCACGATAAGTTTTAAAGTTTCTGGTACACTTATCCGAGAGATTTTCATATCTCTATCAGCACCTCCATTCACGAACAATATCAAACAAACGCAATCCTTAGTTCACGCAGATTGGGTTCCCGCACACTCAATTGGGACAGGTTTCGAACTCGTATTAGGAATCATCTTGGGTTTGGATCCGAACGAGATTGATTCCTAGCACGGACCCATGTGACTGCCATTCCTAGAAAGAGATTGGTTGTCAAGGTGGCGGTTAGGAGCATTAATTCATTGCTCTATAAGTGATTCGATGCCTTTGATAAGGTCCTTAATTTTTCCGCTAAATGTAATGAACTGATAAAAAAGTACGTTGAAAAGTCCCAACCCTCGACAACAAAAGCGCTTTTTACCACGCGAAGAGTTAGGGTTGCACATAAGTAATATCAGAAGCTGGATGAAGTAAAGAAGCCATCAGAGAAGGTGCGGGGTTAGCCACTTCAATGGGATCTTTTATCCCGGTCGGCGGAGATATTACCAAACGTCTAGCGTTCCCTCGCGCTTGGCGCCAATGAGGGTCACCGGGCCTTGCCTGTGATCGGCAAGGGTGGGCCATCCCTCGCCAGACTTGATAGAAAAGAAAAAGGAAAAGAAAGAAAGAAAAAGAAAATAAAAATTCAATTATTAAAAAATATAAAATATTATCCACGTTAGCTCCGGCTGTCATATGTGGCACTACTGGCATCCACGTCAGCGATTTCCGGTTAAAATTGGCCGGATGGACTTAATTGGCAAAATGTGAAAATGTTTAGAATTCAATTGGCACAATTGAAAGGTTTATGACTAAATTGGCACAGGTGTAATAGGTTTATGACTTTTTTTTGATAATTTCCCCTAATTCGGCTTTTAAAGTGCCGAAGCATCGATATCTCAAAATCTAGAAGTACCCAAATCAATGAATTAGTAAGGTATTTATATGAAAATGACTAGAATAGTCAACAAACAAGGCCATGCCATGTGACAATCCTGATGTAGGAGATTAGCAATGGATAGATCGTAACACATCAGAGGGACATGCGCTAATGATGGTTTGCCACATGTCATAAGGACACGAACCAATAATGGGTTGACGCATGTCGGAAGGATGCATGCCAAGATCAAGCCCAATGAAAAGGATTAGGGTTAGACCGATCCCAATGATAATTAGCACTAATCCTCGTTTATTATTTTTACTTATTAAATTTCGATTTTATTATTATAAAATAACGATTTTATCCTATTGAAACAGTGTGACTGTTCGCAATAGATTTGCGGTTATTTTTTTATTAATTAATTTCGAAATTTATTATTTAACCTAACAGTTATTAGGCGTTCTTACAACCTTTGGAAGCATTGTGTCTCTTCGGACATAACTACTTTACCTTTGGAAGGTTATGTCTTTTCGGACATAACTCCTTCAACGTTGAAAGGTTGTATTTGTTCAAAGATTATTTTTTAAAATTATAAAATTCGGATTAATAAAAATGATTAAAAAATATTATTCTTTTATTTTATTATCATTTTATTCCGAATTTTCATATATCCTTTTTCAAAGTGACTTTTGATTTCGAACCAATTCATTATACATATTTTTGATGAAGGGACGCCTTTGTTCGAAAGGGTGTGATTAGTGAGTCAGTTTTACATGGTTGAATATAAAGTCTCTTTATTCAGATTTTTAGATACTTTTTCATTCCGAAAAACTGCAGCCATTCTTTCTAATTGTTTTCCTAGAGAGACCCTAGAGATATACCGAAATTGCTATTCGGTATTCTCAATAGGGGTGAGCACGGTTCCAGGGTAGAACCGGGAACCGAAAAACCAAACCGGCGGGTAAGGTTCGGTTCCCGGTTCTAGGGTGAGCGGTTCCGGTTCTCGGTTCCAATTTTTTAGGAACCGACGCTCTTCCTAGTAAAAAATAAAAACCCCAACTTTTCTTTACAAATTTCTCTCTCTCGGTTGCTCCTCCGTTGCGCCCTCTCTCCCACTCCCCACACCCACGACTCGACGAGACCCTCTCGCCTCTCCTCGCTCCGTTCGGCGTCCGCCTCGGCTCTTCCTCTGTCTTCATCAACCGCGGTCCGGCTCATCCACGGCGGATTTCCGATTCTAGGTTTTTTGGTGACCAATCGAGCGGCCTCGTGGCCGGAGGCGCAAGAAGGGAGCGAGCAAGGACAAGAGTAAGCGCGCTGACGCCCGCGCTCCTCGCCCACTCGTCCCCTCGCCAAGGCATGGGCTCGAACCCCTCGACTTCGGTCATCGATGCGACCTCGAAATTTGACGTCTTTTCTTTGGGTGGTGTGGTTTCAGTTTCAGATCGGGCTATGCCAACTTTCGGTGACGGCGGATAAAGAGAGGAACATTGCCCATGCTCGCGACGCGATTCGGGAGGCCGTGGACAAGGGCGCCGCTTGTTCTCTTGCCCGTGAGTCTCTCCGCATTAGGTAGACTTAGCGGATGTTTAGGCAAATGTAGCCCGTGTTGAATGAAAAAGGTCATTGAGCATTTCGTGTAGCTGCGGAAAGTTTGGATGTGCCTCCTGATTGCAAAATGGGAAATTTATGGCTTACAAGAACTTTGTATACCTTATCAAATGCCCTTTTGTGAAGGCGTGCACTAGAAGAAAGAATGGATAAAAGCATCTTGAGCGGGCACGTGTCTGTTTCATCAGTTTTGGGTGACTTTTTGTGGCTAAGTTCTTATTGATGCTTATGTAATTGCTATGTTTTTATCTGCAAGCTTTGGCTTCCAAGAAAATCAGCCATATTTGCAGCTGCGCCGTTCTATAAAAGGAGGGAAAAATCACGCAACTTGCCTCATGGTTTTGTTGACTCGTGCTAGGAAATATGGAACAGTCCCTATTCAAATGATAGCTTCCTGTTTATGCCGAGGACATTGATGGAGGTTCATCTCCTTCAACTGCTATGTTATCCAAGTCGCTAAGGCCTTGAAGGTTACCATAGTGGGCGCTTCAATCCCGAAAAGATGTGGTGATCGATTGTACAACGCTTGCTTTGTGTTTTTGGTTCCATTGGAGTGCTGAAAGCCAAGCACCGCAAGGTAACTTTTCTTTCCTTAAGTAACTATGTATGGAACATTTAGTTGCCTGAGTCTTCTGGTCTATCTGTCGTTTGAGTTGTTTTCTTTTCTTTTCTTTTCTTTTTCTTTTTGGCTCTATGCAGATGTTGGACGTATTGGTATAGGCATCTGTTATGATATTCGTTTTCAGGAATTGGCAATGATTTATGCTGTAAGAGGTAGGTTTCGTTTCCTCTTCGTCTATTTTGCATTTCCTACAATGTTGACTGCATACTGGTGCTGGGGCTGCCATTGGCCCAGTCTATGCATTTCGAAAGTAAGAAGATTTATGACAGTAACATGTATGTCTTAAGTGGTGGACCTTTGGATTGTTTTCCTTTGATTTATTTTCGTTTTATCCCTTCCAATGATTTTTAAGTTGAACATCAGCAAAGTAAGCCTTGCACAAAGGGGGCTTAGTTGTATAAATGCTTTTACGACATTGCGATATGTCCTCTATTGCTTTTTGTATAGAAGATATCTCTTTGCAATATTGAGTCCTAATTAGCTAGTTTTTGCCTCCTCCACTATTATATTGTTTTAAATTTCTTTCCTAGATTAATGAGGTTTGCTATTGGTGTTGCTAATTGGCCTTTTATTGACAATATCATTCTACTAAATATATTTGCACTGATCCATTGA